CCTGATACCCGTAAACACTCAGCGTATGGTAACTATTAGAATTATTACTTTCATAATCACTGCCCAGTGGCCTGGAATCCTCAAGCATATTCCCAGACTTTGGCATTGGAATTTGACACTGCCTTTCCTCTGCAGCTGATGGAACAGGTAGAGTGTATGAAGCATGCAGTGTGGGACCTGCCAAAAACAGGTGTTCAGTGAAAGTGAGTTGTTCTCATTTCTCCCCCTTTAAGGAAGAGGTCACTGGATGAGAGAAGTTGGTACTGTCCATTGTCATCATTAAAACATAAGCAAAATTGTGCATGCTTTGAATCCGGAAAGCAAGTGGCTCGGCTAGAAAGAATAGTACAGTAGTGCCCCCTTCCCCATGGTGTCAGTCACGTGAAATCAACTGCAGTCTGAAAATATTAAGTGGAAAATACCAAAAATAAACAACTGGCAGTTTTGAAATTGTGTGATGTTGTGAGTGGCCTGATGCACTCGCGTGCTGGGCTGCTTTGTCCAACCTGGGGAAGGGCTCTTTCCTTTGTCCAGCTTATCCACACTGACTGTGCTCCCCGCCCATTAGCCAGCTGGGTTATCACATCAAGTGCCATGGAATCACAGTGCTTGTGTTCAAGTCATCCTTATTTTACATCATAATGGCCCGAAGCACAAAAGTAGCAATGCTGGCGTGTTGTTAATAATTGGTCTGTTCTATTAATTATTATGAACCTCTTACTGTGACCAGTTTATGAATTAAACTTTATCATAGCTTTGTATGTACAGGAAAAAACATAGTGCATATAGAGTTCAGTACTAACTGAGGTTTCAGGCGTCCACTGCGGGTCTTGGAGCAGATCTCCCTCCGTTAAGCAGGGGACCCCTGTAACTCCTGTCATGACTCAGTGAGAAGAAGATAGAGGCATGCTGGCGGTGAGTGTAAATGAGCACCTCAAGTAGCCAGACCAAGTTAAGAGAAAGAGCAAGTACAGTTTACCCCAGATGAACTCACCTCCCAACAAAGCAGGGAAGACTGGTCCAGCCCTCAGCACCATGAAGTGCCTCAGCAGCACCAGGTGCCTGTATCTGGATAGGGACTGTGGGGACGAACTCATTCCTCTGCCCCAGCTGTGGCTGCAGAAGCCTTTGGGCCCTTTGAAGACAGTGCTGTTCAAAGTGCAGACTGAAGTCCCAGAAAGATGAATCTAGGCTCTCCACCATTTTATTCAAATCCTGCATTTCTTTTACCAACTGTACTTCATGGGAAAAATAGTTGTCCCTCGGCAAATCGGGAATCACAGCTTCACCTTAGGCCACAAAGTCGTGACGGGATGAAGGTCAGAGGAGCTGATGCCTGGAGAGCGCCATGTGCACTGGGTGGTGCAGGCCTGTCTGCTGTGTTTATTGCCAGTGGTAGCAAAATGCAGAAGGACCTAATAACCAGAAATACACAGTGATGCTCCTGTAGGGGCTCTCAGCAGAGTCATTGGACTGCAGAGTTCAAGGGCACCTTAGGAAGTGTGAAGCCTTTTGTCGCACAGCAGATATGTAATGAAATAGACCTCGATCCACTTAGCACAGAAGAAACCCTTGGGAGAGAGTGTCATGAGGGCACTGCTCACTTCTCACCTGGGCCCTGGGGGGGCTGGACACCTTTCCTTTCGGAGGCTAAGAGGCCCTGTCCTTGTAGTCAGTTGAACAGTGAAATTTTTTTACTCGAGTTATGTTTTATCCAAAAATAACCATTTTGACAGTTAGCTTGCAGCCAAATATCCAGGTGGTTTAGTTTCATTTGGATACACAGTGTAAAATGAATGTAAAGCAGAGCTCAAAACAGCCTAGGGAATTAGGGCTTTTTATCTCCAGAAATGTGAGGAATGTATGGATCTATATCCTTCATGCGCTAGACCCAGATTTGTATAGGAAGTGTCAGGGTCCTATCCAACCTCGTTTAGGGCTCATGTTAAAATTTCACTGAGAATTAAGAGCCCTGGCTGTCAGCTCCTTAAGCCTTAGGATTTCAGCAGAATCAGGCAAAGCATCTATCGGCTTCCTAGTCCTGTGCTATCCACCAGGCGATACACTTCTCCAGGACCAGACCGTTTTACTCTTTGGAGTGTCCCTAGTACCTCTGATGGAGCTTGGCCTGCCTGAGAAGGTTATTGACTTGAAACAAACCCATCTGTTGAGTGCTTATATGATTCTAGCCACCATGATAGCCACTTTCTGAATGCCATCTCATTTGTCTTGACACAGCCTTACAACGAAAGAGATTAAATTGTGCAAAGATAGTCCACCAACAAGTGGCATAGATAAGATTTGAACCCAGGTTTATTTGATTCTGTGAATTAGGGTTAGATGAGCTTCATTTGCCAGAAACTCTCACCATACATCGTTTTATACAACAGAGGTTTATTTCTAGCAGTTACATAACCGAAGTCTGGGGTTAGGCAGTCCAAAGCTGGTGGCGTGGCTCCGCAAAGTTGCTAGGGACTCAGGTACCTTTCCCACCCCTAGAATCTCAGCTTTGTGGCACAAGATGGCTGCTAGAGCTCCATCCATCATGTAAGATACCAAGCAGCAAGGATGGATCACAGGAAAAAAGGCGTGGCCTCTCAAAAAGGTTTTCCCATACCTCTCACACAGTGTTTCTGCATACATTGCATTGGCCAGAACTTTGTCACATGACTATACCTAGCTCCACCGGCACTGAAGGATGGGAACTGGGGTATTTTAGCTGAGCAGCAATATGACCAGCTAAAAATCAGCATCTGACTCCTGAAGAGGAAGAGAAATATGTGTTGAGGAAGACACTAGCACAGCCTCCAAACAGCATGTATTTTCTTTCTCTTTGGTTCATGGAACATTTTCTTTTCATCATACTTCATAGTTCATATGTCTGAATCTCTCACTCAAGTTAGAGGCCATTTCAGAAACCAGAATATGATTAAAGGGATTCCAAAAATTGGCATAAATATAATTTCCTATTTATACATACTTGACAGTTTTGGTTGTTGTAGTACATTTATCTTTCCAAGATTTAAACCCACTTTCAGTCCTTTTAAAAATTACCCGAAGGCACTCTCATACACTGTTGGTGGGAATTTAAATCAGGACAACCGTTACGGAAAACAGTGTGTAGGTTTCTCAAAAAACCTAAAAATAGAACTACCATATGATCTAATCCCACTACTGGGTATTTGTCCAAAGGAAAGAAAATCAGCATGTTAAAGGAACACCTGTATTTCCATGTTTATTGCAGCATTGTTGACAATAGCCAAGATACAGAGTTGACCCAAGTGCCCAACAACAGATGAATGGATATAGAGAATGTGGTACATATGCACAGTGGAATATTACTCCACCTTAATATTAAGAATGAAATCCTGCCATTTGTAGCAATGTGGACAGAACTGGTAGTCATTATGTTAAGTGAAATAAGCCAGGCATAGAAAGACAAATATCACATGTTGTTACTCATATGTGGAAGCCAAAAAAGTTGATCTCAGAGAGATAGAGAATAGAATGATAGATACCAGAGGCAGGGAAGAATGTGAGGGCAGGGGGAGGGATGAAGACAGGCTGGTTAATGGGTACAACATGCAGTTAGAAGAAATAAGTCCGGCTGTTTGGTAGCATAGCAGGGTGACTATAGCTGGCAATAACGTATATTTCAGAATACCTAGAAGAGATTCGAGATGTTACTAGCACAAAGAAATGAAAAATGTTTGCAGTGATGGTTATTTTAAATATCCTGATTTGATCATTACACGTTGTATGCATGCATGCATCAAAATATCACATGTACCGCGTAAATATGTGTAAATATTATCTTTCAGTAAAAAAGTTGTAACTGCCCAGAAGGACCACTAAACTAATTTTTTCATGCTTGCCTACACACAGCGACACAAGTTTCCTCGTGTAGGATCACTCACAAACACTCTAACTTTTGAATTTGCAGGGGTGCCACCCACGTTGCCAGAGGCAAGTGAAATCCCGAAAGAAGGGAGGTTATGTCCCTTTTTGATAACTGAGTTGGTAATGAAGGGGGACAGGGAGAGCCATTGAACTCAAAAGCACAGAGACTGAGTGTCCAGCACTCAGACTTGTCATGGGAAGCCCATTCCTCTCCTCTCCTGCTCATCCAGGAGGTCAGGGGGTGGACTGGCAGCCGATTCTAGGTGGTGTGGCTTGTGGCTCACTGGTACTTCCCCCCACTCCACCTCCTGCGCTCTCTAGTTGTAGCCTCTGCCAAGTAATTGTCAGTAACAGCAAGAGACATGTTTTATTCTACCTCATTGTTACAGTTATTCATTCTCTCAGAAGAGCTGGTGAACAGAGACTGCAGCAAGGAAGCAGAATAACCCGGTACGATATTTATGCTGCAGCCTGCATGCCTGGAAAGCAGTCACTTTATTTTATTTCATCTTTAATATAAAAATAGCTTCTTTTAGGAAAAACATGTTCCTTAAACAAAAAGTACCCAAGCAAAAACAATTTGAAACCACCCAAAGCCCATCACTAACACACGAGAATGCTCTTTCAGGTTTATTTTTCTGTCATGTTTTCATTACTTTTACAATCAGAGAAGATACGTTAAGTAAAATTCTCAGCCAAGTAAAAAACTGAAAACTTCTGTCAGGTACAACATCATAGAGCCAGAAAAGTGTGCTGTGGCTTGGCCTGGTGCTCAGCTGACCGTGAGACCTTGAGTAAGCAAGTCAGTCTGTGGATTTCAGATCCTCACCTGCAGTTATGGAGTGGGGGACATTGGTACCAAAGTTCTTTTCCCCGCTCAGACATCTGTGATGATGACACATGAAACAGACTGTGAAATGTATGTGGGGTCACAGAGCTGACATCGAGTCCGGATGTTTCTTACTGAGGGGTCTGTAGATAGATTCCAGGGTAGGTCATCACCATAATTGGGTGGAAAATATGCGTGCATCCCAAACTCATCTCTGCCCTGGGAGAACGGTCCATTGCATTCACGAGATTCTCAAGGAATCTGTTCTTACCTCATAGATAGGCACCTTCCATCCAAAGAAGTGAAGGGACTTGCCCCCAGTGGGCATCTGACCGCTCTTCCTGGAAGTCTGGAGAGCTGGTAGGCTAGAAGGTATTATCACTCCAAGCCCGGTGCTCTCCCCAAGAGCAGTGACCATCCTGGACCCCTCTTCCAAGTCTGTGATGGAAGTGAGTACTCTGTCTCCATCTGGCTCAGTTCATGGAGTCCGTGGGGGACTATGCAGCATTCTCTCAGCTTTTCCCTCCGGGCCTCCCCGAATCCCTTTAAGCAGCCTTTTCCCCCCGGAAGTAGAAGAGGAGATATAATGAGGAAGGGAAGCAAGACTAGGCTCACAGAACTGGGATCCTTATTCCCATTCCTCAATTTCTTAAAGAACATGTCAGCTCTCAAGCATTTTATCCTTCTCATCGGAGGTGAGGTGGCAAATCCTCTCTCAAGACTTTGTATAATAGCGTAAAGTGCCACAGTGTCGGATGCTGAAGGAAAATCCTCAGACTGATAGTTCACAGGCTGAGGGGGCAACCAGCTGTCAAAGGGAGTGGATTTTTTCTCTCTGCACACAACAAAACAATCTCCAAAAGATTATACAATGGGAACACTGGTATTTGTGCTGAGAAGTCGTCACACAAAATGTTGTATCTGAAACCTACAGTGACCTTTTCCAAGCAGCCTTAGCCCTACATCAGAAGACAAATACTGCCAGTTTGCTTGACATTTTCTTTTTTTAATTTTAAGCATTCTTGATTTCAAATCGGCCATTGATCTGTTGGTTTGCTGCTCCAATGCAATTAAGTAAAGTCACATTTACTTCTGTTAGAGTCTAACAAAAACAACTGCTTTGAAACCCCACACCCTCCCCTGTATCTGCTTCTCCCTCACTCACCACCCGCCCCCTCCCTCGCCCCAAAGCCTGTCAGCCAACATGCTGTGCGTGGAGGGCGGATTGCAGAAAAGCTCATTTTTCTAAGCCTCAAATGAGAATCTTCAAAGTTGAGTTATGTACCATCATCCTGTGTCCAGCTTTAAAGATCAAATGTATTTGCTCACTTCTTACTTTAAATCCTTCTTGACAGAGGCTGCAGAAAGCCTAGAAAGGGGATGGTTTGTTCTGATTCCAGTTGTTCACCCAAATGAAGTATGGAATTCAGCCAGGGGATGATCTGAGCTCCACCTAGAAAGGAAGCTTTCAAGGATTCAAAGGAAGTTTCAGGGTGTTGCTCTGGGACCAGTGTGTTGAACAGATCTTAAAAATAGTTCCATCCATCGGCCTGAACAGTCAAAGAAGGGACATGTGTGGTGGTTGTATGTGTAGCCAAAGCCCAGCCTTTAGAACTTGAACAGATTGAGGTTCTGGATGTATGTGGGCCTCTTGTTAATCTGTTGAAGAGCGTTCTTTCTAAGTCTTGGTAACCCAGAGAACTGGCTGGGGAAAGAGATCTCAGTCGATTGTTAGTTTGTCTTTTCACAGCATCATTTGTCACAGTTCTGGTGCTGCTCCTGAAAGAGGCCCTGCTAGCACATAAGAAGCATCTGTCTGGCCAGTATAGCTTCTCGGGGGAAGCGGGGAGGCAAAGAGGACGCAAGAACCAACAAGAAAATAAATGGGCCAACTGTACAAGACCATTTAAAAATCAGCTCTGCCACTTGTTTTTCTTAATGCTCAGACCCTGTCTGCCTGTGATACATGCAATTTAGATGACTGAATTCCAAAAAACCAATTCAGCTTTTGTGTTTTCCAAAGGTGAAAATTTATATGGCTCTGCCTTTTCTTTCCCCTCATGATTAGAGTCAGGCCGCTCCACTTCAGCTGTCAGGCTCTTCCTCACAGAGTAACTTGGGGAAAGCCATTGGAAAGAAGTTTTGTTCTCTGGCCTGGTTATACCACTCAAAATTAGGTCCCACGGCCCACACATAATATTTAGGGTCACCATATAACCCAGCTCACTGGTAACACACCTGATTTGTGTCTTTAGTCCTCAAGATTCATAACACTTACCTTCTTTCTCAAAAGTGTGGCCTTTTGGATGATAGGTGTTTAATGTGGTTATGCTAGTTGTGGGAATGAAGGGAAGGAATGCATCTCTGCCTCGGTACTCTAATCTCTTCCTTTCTCTCACCACAGCTCCATTCGGCAGCCCTGGCATCACTAAAGGGAGATATTGTGGAGCTTAATAAACGTCTCCAGCAAACAGAAAGGGAACGGGACCTTCTGGAAAAGAAATTGGCCAAGGCACAGGTAAGGGATCTGGAAAGTTTTTTTTGTTTTTTTTCCTTTAAAAAACAAAAACAACAAGGTGAAACCCCGTCTCTACTAAAAATACAAAAAGTTAGCTGGGCATGGTGGCACGTGCCTGTAATCCCAGCTACTCAGGAGGCTGAGGCAGGAGANAAAAAAAAAAAACCCTAAATTTAAAAGAAAGGAAGATCTTTATAAACAGGATAAAACTTTAAAGAACACTCAGAGAGATTTAAGAAAATATTATACTCTTTCCTGAGAAAATATAAGAGATTGAAGGGCTTTTAGAAATACATATATTCAGAGAATTTTGAAACTCCGTCTCAAAAAAAAAAAAAAAAAACCTTCATTTTAAGATAAAACATGGGTATAGAAATTCCCACAAAACAAATTACAGCTTTAGCAGCAAATACTCTGTCTTAGTCTGCTCTGGCTGCTGTAACAAATACCATAGATTTGTGACTTAAACAACATTTATTTCTCACGGTTCCAGAAGCTACAAAGTCCAGGGTGCTTATTGAGGGATCCCTTCCAGATGGCTTTTTTTTTTTTTTGAGACAGGGTCTTGCTCTGTCACCCAAGCCTGGAGTGCAGTGGCATGATCATGGCTCACTGCAGCCTCAACCTCCCAGGCTCAAGCAATCACACCACAGCCTCCCAAGTAGCTGGGACTACCAGCTAATTTTTTGTATTTTCTGTAGATTTGGGGTTTTGCCATATTGTCCGGCTGGTCTTGAACTGCTGAGCTCAAGCGATCCTCTTGCCTGGCCTTCTAAAGTTCTGGGATTTCAGGCATAAGCCATCGTGCATAGCCTTTTAATTTTCTTCCCTTGCTTTGATTTTTCAAGGACTTCTATTATTTGTATGTTGGATCGTCTTTATCTGTTACTGTCTTAAATATTTTATATCTTTTTAAAATTATTTCTCTTTTCTGTTTCTCTTGGGATGTTATATGTTGTTTTTAGCCTTTTTTGCCTTCTAGTATAGTCACTTCTAAAAAACATTTTCAATCTATTTCAGATTCTTTTCTCACTTCTGAATTTTTCTGATTCCTAATTGTGTTCTTTTCTGTCTCACGTCTTTTAGTTTATTTTGAAATAGTAGGCTATTATTTGGAGTGTTTTTGCTTGGGGGATTTTGTTTGCTTTTGGTCTGTGTTGTGGCATGCTTTTATGGTTTATAAGGATGTTCTGACCTTATTTTGTATAACTTAGTATGGGATTTGACGTCAGTATTTTTCTGTTTTTCATGTGAAAAATAATTTCCTTGAACTTTCAGGAGACAGGCTTTAACATGGCTTTCTAAAGTGTTTTGAACCTAGCCTTCTGTTGTTTTCTTGTTGTCAAAAATGGCAGCTTACTTTCTGTCACTCTCTGGCTCTGTTCCTTTTACCTGCTTTTATCTGGATCTTTTCTTTCCTTTGTAATTCCCATCCTTTTCAATTTTATTTCCGCTCCCAGCAATTTCTCTTCCTGGAAGGCAGCCCTGAGGGCAGTCTCCAAAGTTCACAGGGACTAGCCTGCTGTAGCCTCTTTAGGTCTTACTTTGGCCCCCTGCACTTACTCTTCGGTCGGGCAAAACCCGTCCCAGTTTTAGCTACTATTCCCCAATTGGGCCTCCTTACGTTCCTGTGAATACCTTTTGTTTTTTTAGGAGTTTTTCAAGTTCTCAGATACATCAACCTTGTTTTCCTCTGATTCTCGCCATGGTGGTGCCACTCAGATCTTATGGATGATGTTGGCTTCTTCTTACCTGCTTGGATTTTCTTGTTCTCAGGCATACCTTGCTCCAGGCTTTGGGCTCTACTGTGTAGGTACTTTATTTTTATGTGAGAATTCAGAGAAATTTAAAAACCCGGCTATAGAAGCCTTCCAGAATGACCTATGGAAATTTTTGGAAAACTTTCATGTCTCATAATCAAAGATTGTTTGAGTAGAGGGAAAAGATTGTACTTAAGATCATCCACTTTCACGTTTGATGGGCATCTGAGGGAGATTAGCTTGATTACCCAAAGATAAATGAGTAGCTCAGCAAAGCCACCAGTGCCTTTTCTTACTATAGGGTATTATACATGACAAAAATTTTCAATTTTTACTTAGATGAAAATGTTACTTAAAATATTTTCCTTCTGATTATAAAGGTAATAAAATAGTGATAGAAAAAAATAGAAAGCATTAGAATATTTCAGTGGTAATCTCTGAACTAAAACTTTTTTAGTGCTTTTTTTTTGTTTTACAGTGTTTTTTAAGAGAAAATTGTTATTTTTGTATTTTAAAACAACTAAATGGTGGTGACTATGCTTTCTAATTTATACCCACCCAAAGTCAATCATCATTAGCAATTCTTATTGATGAGAATTTGTTTTAAAAAAGAAAACAGTGAATGTGTTTAATTGAAAGCTGGCATGTACAATAGCTTTGGATTTTAAAAAGTGACCAGGAAGGTATTTATTAAAATTTAAGCCTACAAAGGCAGCTTATACAGAGGATGGTAAGAGGATAATAGAAATGTTTTTCTCTGCTAAGTCAAGGATTGATTCAGCTCTTTTTTTCACTTACAGTCAAGCCATCCTCATGAAATAGCTTTTGATGACTGATTTTACCCCTGATGATGATGGTCATATCATAGAACCATTTATTGATTCTCTTATTTGCGTCCTTAGGTGAAATAGATTTAAAAGTTACTCTCTGCTCTTCTCACTGGAAATTTCTTCCCAGTTCATATACTGGAACCTAGGAAAGAGAACATGAAAAAAATGTCAGACTTACCATCTCATATCTTTAAAAAGATGACATTTATGCAAGAAAAAAATAAGAACAATGAAATGACTGTGCCACATTTTCTGTATTATATGCCATGGTAAAAGATTCGTGTTTGAGGCTTTACCAGATTGTGGAAGAGCAAATTCATGTGTAAATTTATGCTCTGTGGCTTTGGTAAGTTTTACCAGCTCTCTAAATATTGTAGTGCTATGATTAAAATGTAAGATGTAAATGGTGGTTATGTTCAACAGGCATTACCAAGAAAGCGGCAACATCTGTTGAATAATCATTAATGGTGACACTAGAACTGGTTGAATAAAAGAAGGTTTCTTACATATGCTCATGACGTCAGCTTGTAGGTAGAGTTTTGAGAATAGCGGTATGAAGGGAAGAACCAATATCAATATGATGGAGACGACATACTGCTTCTATATTAATTTTCTATTGCTGTGTGATAAATTGCCATGAGCTTACTGGCTGAAAACAGCACAGTCCTATCTTCCCAGATGGAATAGGGCACAGACATGCACCAACATTCTACAGCCCGGCGGGGACTAAGCCTGTGGGAAACTGGCTAAGATCATATATAGTCCTGATTTTATGCTTTTAGCATATTTGTTATTTATTTAGTACCAACAGTTATTTTAAATTACTGCATTTTTAAGTGCTTCAGAAGGAAACATATCAAACAAGCTTATGAACCCATTTAAAATCGGTGAGCAGTAATGTGGAACACTTTCTATTTCTAAGCTGTTTATCTTTGGAAAGCAAGTCTCCTGAATTTTCTACCTCTTGGCTTTCAGGAAGAGAACACACACGGTTTTCCTTAAGTGGAAAGGAGAGAGTGTTTTCTTCTTCCCTTGTTTTCTGAGATAGCTTTTCTGAGATGTAGTTGGCATGTATTTTCTTTGTTAGAGTCACCCCATTCCATTCCTTTCCTATTCGTTTATACTTCTCTTTGGTAAACTACTCCAGCTGCTTTGCTCCTTAATGGCATTTCCACTTGTCCTGGTGCCTCTTTGTTTAGCCAGCCCAGTTTCCCCTTAGCAAGGTTATCTGGGCAAGGGCTTAAGAGTGAGAGTGGAAACACCCCAAATAGTGTTAGTTGTGACAAATCCTGTGTGACCTTGAGAGTGTAATGACACTTGTTAGCATATTTTAAAAGGGAGTAGTACTAACCTGCTTCACGGGATGGTTGAGAGGGTTAACAAATTAATGATGGCCTTGCATTTTCCAAGAACCTAGTTCATAATGCTCTTAGATTTGACAGCTGACAGTAATGCGATGATTAAAGATCAGTGGCCTCGGTGGAGTGAGATAAAACCTGGTGACGAACATTAACAAAACCATAAAGCTGCTTAGAGTCACCACACTGCACAGGGTTTTTCCAACAGGGGCTCAAGTTCTCAGGCCAGACTGTCTCAAGGCTGACTCAAGGCTTTATCCCTGGATTGCACCACAGCAGGGATGAGCCTAAAGGATTTTGTTCTCCATGGTTGAAATGACGATGTTGTTTGTTTTTATTACACATGTTTGCATATTGGCAATTTCACCAATTTATGTGACTAGACACAAGTATTTATATGAATTTTTAATTTGCTTCATCATCATAACAGGAAAGCTAAGATCTCAAGAAGAAACTCAGGGTATGTATTACGTGCCAGATGAAATTTGGGAAAAACAAAATTTCATCATATCCAATCTCAATCATTTTTTACTTTTCCTTTCAAACTGAAAATCTGCAGTTGTGAGACAAATCTAGACTCCTAATGATATTGACCTCCAGAAATTAATGGCAGGCAAGACATTGCAACCACAGGCTTTCTGGCTTTGTGGCACTGTACCTTCAGTCAAGAATTGAATATGGGCTAGGAGGAGGGAGAACCCTGGATGCAATTACCTGTAATGATAGAAAAAAAATAGTAGCATAGTAGCATGTTATTTGAGACTCTTTTTTATTTTATTCAACTGAAATTGTATGGGGTGTTTCAGTCCAGTAGAGAGAAGAAAATAATCTCTAACTTATAAATTGTAGTAGAAGAAACTGCCTTTGGTCCCAGAGGCTGCTAAGTAAATTATCACTGAGAATTGACTTTGGAAGCTAAAGCTGGCTTGTTGGAAGCTGGAGAGACTTTGAATTCCCTGTTTTATACCCCCTTGTGTCTCCTTTTCTGTTTTTATCCTCCCAGGGTGTTGAAGAGAGAGCTCTTTGGCCTTTCCTAGCTCTCTTTGGTATTG